ATGCCGTTTCCGTGCTGTGTCCCGGCCTGAAGCCCGACTGGTATGGGTCTAGATAATCTGTTTCATCCAGGTGACGAGGGAACTGCCGCGCAACCACACTCTCAACAACCTTCGCCGCAAAGCGAAGGTTGGAGACCGGGCGGTAGTTAGCCAACTCATCTGGGTCCAGGGAAGGCTTCTTGAGGAGGGGCCTCACCACTGTATAGGTCGAATGAAATAGGCCTTTCTAGAATAAAGGACAGTTCATTGCTTTAATGGGAAGTCATTTAATTTATTGTGTATGTGTGTGTGTGCGCAATGTGTATATGTATATACACATATCCGTAGCAGTTGGTAAGCAGGCAGAATACTGATAAGGGGAAGGACAGGACAGGCCCTGTAGCCCAACCGAGCTGGGCTACTCCTAGAACAGGGGTAGGCAACCTTGGCTCTTTTATGATTCATGGACTTCAACTCCCAGAATTCCTGAGCCAGCATAGCTGGCTCAGGAATTCTGGGAGTTGAAGTCCATGAATCATAAAAGAGCCAAGGTTGCCTACCCCTGTCCTAGAACAAAAGAAACCGTCAACCACGATCTCCTCTGTAGAACTTCCAACGCTCTGGCTGGAAAACCCGGGCCCTCGGCGGATTTGCACCGAGTTGGGAGCAGGAGGAGGGTCCTTCCCAGTTTCTGGAGATGGCGAGTGGCCCGTTCTGGCAATAGGCCACACCGAAAAGGCAGGATTGAAAAGCAAACAGGCACGTGGAGTAGTTGCTTGCCTACTCCAGCCCGAGTTAATGCGTGGGTATACCTCGGGGCTGGAAAGGGCGGGCATCGAGGCTCTACCCTGCCTGCCTCTCCCCTTTAACCGTTTCTCGCAGCCGTCATTAATCGCAGAGTCCCACCTTCCTTAACTTCTGCAGTTCCACGGCCGACCTAGAGATCTCGCTGGGCTTTTCCTCTCCCATTCCCCGGGTTTTCCCCCCTCCGTTCCGCGAAGCCTTCCGGGCTGTACCGCCAGTCGGTAAAATCTTGCTCGTTAGCGCTAACTGGAGTCCCGGATGGCTCTGGCCAGCGGCGCGTTTTTCTTCGACTGGGCGGTTGGGGCCGCCTCAACTTTAACTGTGTTGGCCGCCGCCGCCGCCGCCGCCGCCTCCTCCTTCTTGGTGCTCCGCAACTGTTGGAAATGGAAACAGATGCAGGCCATTCCGGAGGTCAAACCCTGGTATCCCATACTGGGTAACTCTCTGATCCTGGAAAGGGACGCCGAAGGTAAAAACTTCCCGCCCACTTCTTCCAAAGGCGGCGGATCTGCTATAATCTTCCGCTACCCGCTTATTCAGTTCAGCTGGTGAGCGGCGGGGGCAGAGGGCTGAAGCGAGCGCGGAACTGCTGGGAAAAGGGCGCTAGAGACCGAAACGAAAGTTTGAAAGATGTTAGGGTGGGAAACGGGGGAGAAAATGCAGTGCTTACAACGTCATAAAATTAGATGTTGCGGACGAATCATCTGAACGAAGTATCCCTTTCATAATGAATTGTTTTGCATATTAGAAGATAACCCTAAAAGTCAGAATTAAAAATATCCTCCATTCTGTGTCTGTATCACTGAAGGAAAGTGAGGACAACTGTTCTATATAGTGCATTTTCAACCATTCTTTACATTCAAAATCAGGCTAATTTACAGATCCTGATAGAACAATCCAGCTAGATGGATATGTTGAAACCAAAAACTCAAACAAAGCGCCAAATTCAGGGCAGGAAGGTGATTTCTTTTTAATGTGCATTAGATGTCCTAGAATCTAGTTAGTTAACATTTATTATGGTTATAACCAGCATCATAAAATATGTAAGCTGACTCCTGTTATGAACATCAACAATATATAGAAGGTATTTAAAAACTAAGTCAAATGCTAAACAACATTTCCTATTTGCAAAAATCATATTCTCTATCAATCAGAACTAGTGTAGCAAATGTACATAAAGTAATAATATTCCTGTATTAACTTTTAGTTCAGTTTCACAGACTGTCGCATCAAATCTAGTTTCTAGCAGCGGAGTCAAGGAAGAGAAGTCTGATTTTCTAGCTCTGTTTATAAAGAGAGGAGTAATGATTTTGACTCCCATACCATTGGCCGATAAAGTGTGATAGCACCTCGGCCTCCTTGGAGCCACAAAGACACATTCATTTAACACTTTGTCATAGCACAGATGTAGTGCACATGTTGAGACACATTAATGAGAAAGCTGTATGGAACTTCAGAACTGATATGAAAGATAAATATTTAGCTGACTGAATGATATTCCCAATTCTTCCAGGAAAAAAATGATAATTGGTAAGAAGTCTTAAGTCTGTTTTGCTTCAACTTGTCTTAGCTATACTGTGAAAGCATCACATAATATGTAAAGGGATGAACCTGCAGGAAGGGTTCAACGATAACATAATTCTTGCGCACTAAGCCCTAGCTCCTTCTACCTTAATCAGATTGGGTTCTAAACATTAAACTGCACCTGGGACCCAATTTACAACTCACAAGGGTATTCTTAAGAAATTGAACTGAATTCTGTCCAGCTGAGCAAAGGCTATGAAAAGACCAAATCTGGGTCTTGTAAAAGAATTAGGAAAGGCTTTGGCCTCAGAGAATTCTATAGTAGCTAGGATGAATTCTTCCAAGCTTTTGTATAAGCACTGGTAAATGTAAATCAACAGATCTGTTCAATTTATGTCACAATGTAACTAGAAATGAAATCAAAGGTTGCTCTAAAGTCTAGTAGCTTCAAGTAAAGCTGACTTTGCTGGCCTGCATATTTTCCAAATAATTATTGATCTATAGTGGGTTGATTTCTCTTTCCTCTTTAAATATTATCCCCTAGTCAGGCCTGCAGTTTGACCTGTAAACACTTTGCTAGGTTATTTAATGCTACTTCGAGACCAGTGGGGAAATATATTAAAAATGTAACTTATATTTTTGAAGCCACTTTACTTAGTAGAATAAAATATTCAGTGTATCTCTTAAGTGTATTATTTAACAATGCCTCATTAGATGGAACCCTTATATGCCCAATTTTTCATGACCTGTTTATCAGTGTCTATCCTAAATCTGAACTTTACTTATGTACTAAATATAAGAAATCAGAGCAAGGTCCAGTTTGCCAGAAAAATTCTACCTTAGACACCATCTCAGCCTCCTTTATAATTAGCTGGCTAATCAGCCATACTTCCATCCCCCTTTATAAAAATTAAAAATAAAATCCATGATGGTCCTTTGGGTAAGAGCAACCATAGGAAACAAGAAAGGAAGGAAAGGCTGTGTCTGGCAAGGAGAGAAAGTAGGAGAAAACAAGTAGGAAAAACATGAAGGAAAGAAAGTTTCCTGATCAACAAAGAAAGAGAAGAAAAAGAAAAGCAGCTCTTAGTGAGAAGATTTCCTCAGATTACTTTTCTTTCTTTCTTTCTCTCAAAAATATTATCAACCAAGATAAATAATTTTAGATTGGATAAATTTACTTATTTCTTAAATTTCTATCATTGCCAAGTCTCAAGGCATCTTACACTGAAAATTCAATTTAAAAAGATTAATGATAAAATTTAAAGCACTGGATGAGAAGTTCAGAAGAAGCATTTTTAGCTAGCCTTTTGTTCACTTGGTGGGTTCATAAAACATCCTTGTGTCTGTTTCATACTTTTGTACCAATAGCTGTGTTTTGCAATAAAATTCATGAAAATGTATTTTGATTTGAAATCCACCCCATGTTTAATTCTGATTGATAATAGTCATAACAGACTACATTTCAGAACACAGTTATTTTGAGCTTTTTTTCAACAAGCTCTCCAACCTAAAGAAACAGTTTAACTGGGAACCATAGTGTATGTTTGTGGTATGCTTCTCTCTAAACCCGATCTACAAAGCAAAGTAAAAATTGCAAGATTATTCTAAGCCAGACATGTCAAACACAAGGCCCAGGGGCCGGATGCGGCCCGCAAAGTGGTTTCATGTGGCCTGCGAACAGTGGAAACAGTGAGGGAATGGCCCCCGCTGCCTTGGCCCCGGCCCAGGCCGGCCGGGAGCCAATGTACAATTTTGTGGTGGCCATCTATGCTGAAATGCATTCAATCTTAGCTCCACAAGGCTGTCTAGAAACACTGAGGAATCAGCCCCTGCTGTGTCGGCCCCACCCCCTGGGTGCATGCTGGGGAGGTATCACCCTTTGTGAGGAATGAAGAAATGGACCATGCCTTGGCGCTTGCCCTGGTTCCACCCCCTTCTGCCATAGACCCTCAGATCTGTCCCACTCCTGCCCAGGCCCCCACAGGCACCCTTGATGCGAACAGTGTAGAGCTGGCCATGCCCACCCAATAGGCCACACCCACTCCATCCATGCCCGCCCAGTAGGCCGCACCCACCTTGGCCACACACCCCCGGCCCCCCAAGGGCAACCGCAATGCTGATGCGGCCCTCAATGAAATTGAGTTTGACACCCCTGTTCTAAGCAGTTCTCTCAGTTTCAGACAAATCCTTATATTCTATCGGACTTTACTCAAATTACTTACTCCAGCACTCCAGCGTTGTAAATTGTTTATTAATTGAGACTCAGCGTATCCCATATACCATGGTTAGATTAACACTTAAGATTACTATTAAAACCTAGTTGTTATGAAGTAAAGATCACAGCAATTTGCTAGTGAACAACTCACAAAACAAGCTGTGTTAAGATCAAGGACTGCATTTGGAGAATAGGAAAGAAGATACTTCATGGTTGTTTTATTTGAGTTTGCTAAGGCAGCACGATACAATTTTTCAGAAAAATCCTTAACCTCAAATATGTTGTCTGTGTCTTGTGAGGATCAAAAAACCTTATCAGTTCAGATGTAAATGTTTTATTCAAAATAACAATGAGCAATAAACTTATAATTTGTAAACTGAATGTACATTTTTCAGATTTCTGGAAACAAGTAATTTACTATACAGAAGAATTTCGCTATGTACCACTGCTAAAACTTTGGGTAGGACCATTCCCTCATATAATCTTATATCACCAAGACACCATAGAGGTGAGTCTCTGAGTTTTCATTCTCAATGGCTATGCAAGATGATTCTTGCTCCTGGGGAAATCTTATAGGTGAGGATGATAGTCAGTATTTTGACTTTATTGTCAACCCCCTGATAGAAATACCTTGCCAAGTCTGTTTAGAAATTTATTGATGGAATCCTCTTTGCCCCTTTCTAGAAACAATTATATTTAATAGGCAAGTGGGTAAGTATAAGGTGTTACATCTTTAATAGTGCAAAGAACCCTGAAGTAGCATGAAAGTGTGTAGACATTACTGCATTACAACTTCTGGGTTCTTTTTAAACTTGGGATTATCAGTCCAAAAAGAATCATTTAACAATTCTGAAATATATATACACACACACATACAAAAATTTGATGATCTAATGTGAAATGGCCAATATCATTTTCCACTGACAGAAAATAAACCACATAGGATTTTGTTATTTGTTTTTTTAATGTTATTACATACAGTAATAGCAAAACTAAATATCCTTCTTTATACTACAAATTATAAATGACATCAATTAATAATAAAATTCTTCAAGTCATAAAGCATGGGGTGATTGTCAACATGACAGAAGTGAGATGCTCTGATTCTTCGCCTTTTGTTTGTTTCTTTCTTTCTTTAAGTCAGTGTTGATCCCTGGACTTGCCCCTACAGCTTTCTTGGCAAGATTTTTCACAAATGGTTTGCCATTTCCTTCTTCCCATAGCTGAGAGAAAGTGACTGGCCCAAGTCACCCAGATGGCTTTATGCCTAAGGCTGGACTAGAAATCATGGGTTTTTTTTGTTTTTAGCCTGGTGCTGTTAACCACTGGCTCTGTCATCTTTTTTTATGTACACTAAACATAAAGTTGGCAGGAATGCATATATGTGATTGCCAGTAAAGTGTGGTGGGAAGAATGATCATGAGGGTGGGACTATCTAATTCTAATACATCCCCATGATTGAATGCTTTAAGAGTATTCAGTCTCATGATACTATAGGCATATTTTTTTGCATTCCTAATTTCCATTATTAAAAGCAACCTGAGTGTACATATCAAAAATACAATGCGTGGTGTGGCCTTGAAGTTAGAAATCATGCCAAGGCATAAGTAATAGCTTTTGAGACAGTGCACGATCACATTGTCTTCTGTGCTGCCTTGGAAAAGCTCATATCTCGGGTTTTCACCAATGAAGCCTCTTTACATGATGGGATGAAAATGGACCCTCTAGTGCTATCCAGAAACTATGCATAACTATATGGGAGAATTTAGAGAACATGCTCATACCAGGAACTGAATCATGAATTCACTAATTTTTACTTTTACTGTATTTTCAAACCTAGTCCATATGTTTAGGGGATGATTCAAAGTATCACATGTCTCTAATAAATTGGCTCAATGGTAGAAATAATGTTATGGTTTATAACCTGCCTTATTACCCAGTTTTATTATCAAAGTGGTTGGGTATAAATAGAATGCATTACAAAAGTGAACATTCATCAATATAAATTAAAACTACTGCAGGTAACAATAAACTACCAAGACCCGAGGACATCTTTTTTTTTTTTCCAAGTATAAATTTTTATTATTTTCATCATAAAAAAAAACACATCACAAGTACATCACAATGCTATGATAAAAGCCCCACCCCCCACCCCCCGGACTTCCCAAACCTAATCCCAGGATAGATAAGTTGATTTTCATTTGATGATAATTATAGGGATTGAGGTGTTTTATAATAAGATGTATTCATCCACTTTATACATTTTTTTTCTTTGTTCAATAGATTTTCGGATTTAATATAAGGTGGTAAGATACGAAAAAAACTTATATTTGTTAGGATCTTCTCCATATTGATAAAAATTGTTCATTTGAATAATTCTTCAAATAAGCTGAAATTTTTGTCATTTCAGCAAGATGCGAAACCTTCAATCTCCAGTCCAAGTTCGTTTCTTTTACATCCAAATTTTGTGTGATACCTAGGAGAAACAACTGAAGCAAAAAAAAAATTCTTCTTTTAAAAATTTGCTGTAAGTTCCACCACAATTTTATCCAAAAGGCCTTAATAACCTTGCAAGTCCACCACAGATGAAAAAAAGTTGCATCTTGTTGTCCACACCTCCAGCACTTGGATTCATAATTTTCATAAATGCGAGACATAGTTGCAAGATCCATGTGCCATCTATAACACATTTTATAAAAATTCTCACGTAAGTTTTGAGCTTACGTGAATTTCACATTTCTCACCCATATCAACTCCCAGGTATCCATAGATATTGTTTCTCCTATATTTTGAGCCCATTTAATCATATAATCTTTAACTAGCTCAGTTTCTGAATCCAATTCTAATAAAACATTGTATATCCTTCTAATATGTCCTTTAACATCATCTCTTACTTGTTTCAAAAAATTCCCATCTTCCATAAAGAAAGCAGTTTTTTTATCAATTCGCCATCTCTCTTGAATTTGTCTATACACAAGCCAGGAAAAGTCTGGATTTTTCTGTCTCAAAACTTCTATTAATTTGAGGCACCATTCACCACTACCACTCTGATATAACAAATCTTTATAAGATGGCGCCTCTCAATTATAACATTAACAATAAGTCCATCTTCTTCAACCATTATTAAATCAAAGAAAAAAAAAAAGAACCTTTAGGACCTAGATTCCCATCCATTCATAGTTAAATCAAACAAATTCAGTTATTACAGCATAATTATCATATTTATAATAGTCTTCCTTCATTATTAGATCAGGAAAAAAAACCTTAAAGACCTTTTTAACCCATCAGATAACATTTAATGTCATGTTTATATCTAACTCTAGCTTTCTTTCTATACCAAGTTAATTCCCATGTTAGAGCGTTTCGATTATCAAACCTCAAGATTTGGTTACAAAACTTTCTAATCACTTCAAACTGAGCAAAATTTTCTTCCCTTTCTACCAATATCATCT